TGACCTTGCAACCTTTAGTCTCGGCTTTAGGAAAATATCACATTTATCTGTGGATTATCAAAGGCTCCGTGTATTAATTTGATACTTGTAAGATGAAAAACAATTTGCCATTAACTGCCAGTGGCCTCATTTGTTACACTCGGGCCTATAGGGCCTTGAACCTCTGACCAGTCTTACACGGTCCGCAACAGTCTTTCTTTGAAGATTTGTCTTCTATCACTCTAGCTGTTCCAGGCTGGTCTGCTTGTCCTTGCTAGTGGGAATGCCCCACCTCAGAAGGGACTCAGGATTCCACCTAAGGTCCTATACTCTGCAAAGGCTTTGCAAAGGGCCTATTTCACCGGGCAAGTTCTAGAACCCCTTTTAGGTATTCCAGTCAGTTATAGGCTAAAGACAGGCCTACAAGCTGTCTGTAATCATGTTTCCCGACATTCCTTTCTATCCCACTCAAGTGTCTATTTTATAGTGGTAGGCAAGGGAAACCAGTATTCATAAGATAGTCAAGCATTTTATTATTACTTCTCCTCTTCAAACTATGCCTAGATCCCTGTATCACAGAGCCCTGTTGTTCCAAGGTTGAGCATGCATCGCTATTTACCTCTGTCCCATTTAGCCCATGCAAACCTGTGTCAGTGTTCCCATATCTACCTTGTTCTTCCACCCTTCCCCCTTCTTGTACTGCCCTCCCTAACACCCGAACTATGATGTGTCTGCCTCCTACCCTGTGCTCTACTGTCACCTCCCTCCATGTCCCCCTAACCCTCCCATCCCAACCCCACCATTGTGGTTACCTTATATTCCATTAACTTTTCCCTCCATTTAAGACAGTCTATTTTATCCTGTAATCTACCTGACCTTCTCACCATCTGGATCTCTGTTCCTCTGTTCTTATGTGTTTACCTTTGTTCACATTGTAATTGTTTTGATCATAGACTGACCTCCCAGATCCTCTGAATTTGTTCTTAGAGTTTTGTTCTGTTTTCGACTCTTCATTTGTCGATTGAGTTCAGGGTGATGCTCTGGTTGTTGTCTGTTCTTGTGTTGCGTCTCAGTCCACAGAACTTCCTTTAGGATGTTTTTCATAGCAGGGTTGGCTTTGGCAAAATCCCTTAGCTTCTGTTTATCCTGGAGTGTTTTGATTGCACCATCGTATTTGATTGCCAGCTTTGCTGGGTAGAGGATCTTGGTTGGTAGTTTATTTCTTTCAGGGTGTTACATATATCTCCCAATTGCCTTCTTGCCTGCGTGGTTTCTGCTGAGAAATCCGAGCTTAATCTGATTTGCTTGCCTTTGTATGTAACACTTCTCTTTTCCCTAGCTGCTTTCAGGATTTTGTCCTTATCTTTGATTTGGAGAGCTTGATTATTATATGTCTTGGTGATTTCCTTTTAGGGTCTATCCTTCCTGGGGTTTGTTGAGCTTCTTGAATGTTTATCTTTTCGCTTTTCAGGATGTTAGGGAAATTTTCTTCCAGCAACTCTTCAGCCATCTCCTCTGTGGACTTGAGTGATTGTTCCTGTTCTGGAATGCCAGTAATTCTTAAGGTAGTCCTCTTCATGTTGTCCAATATGAATCTTAGACCTTCTTCAGATTTTTTTTATCCTCTTTTTTGCTTGTTCTTCTATCTTAGTAGCATTGAAAGATTTGTCTTCCAGTTCACTAGTTCTGGCTTCTATCTCTTCAATTGTACTCCTTTGCTCTTTCAGTGTATTGTCCATTTCTGATATTCTCTTATTAATCGTTTGGACCTCTTTCTGTAGGTTTTTCAGGTCCCAATGCTATATCTATCTTATTTGATGGTTCCTTAGCATTTTGTTATCTTCTTCCTTATTTTTCTCAGCTCCATTGTAAAGGGTTTTGATACATTTTATAATCATTTTTTTTAAATTACTTCTCAGGTATTTCCAAAGCCTGCCTATCTTCCAGTATGGAGTGTAGGTCTACCTACAACTCATTTGTCTCAGTCACTTTGTCTCGTTTCTGGACATGTGCTGATATGGTCATCTGTTTCTGTTTCTTGGGCATATTCAGTAGTTAGCTGCGGCCTTAATACTTAGATGAGTGTGTATTTTGGTATTTTTTATGCTTTCTGATTATCTCCAGGTAGATGTGATCAGGAGATAGGCTTCCATTTTCACTCTTATTATTCAACTCAGAGTAACTGTCACAGATGTTGGCTGCTTACCTGTTGTATGGCAGCTGGTATTGGTTCTTGCCTGGATTGTGGGATTTTATAGGGTGTGATTGTAGTTTGACTATATCACAGCAATTGCTGTCTCATCTTGGGTAATGTAGGGAGAGAAAGAGCCCCCTAAAGGTAAATTAAGGTTGTTGTTAAGTACCGTGGAGTCGGTTCCGACTCATAGTGACCTGTACAGGGTTTCCGAGGCTGTAAATCTTTACGGGAGCAGAACGCCTCATCTTTCTCCCATGGAACCGCTGGTAGTTTCGAACTGTTGACCTTGAGGTTGGCAGCCCAACTTGTAACCATTATACTACCAGAGCCAAAAAATGAAACAGCAACAGCAAAAAAAAAAAAAAAAGGAGAGACAGATTGGATGCTATAGTCTGTAATCGCAGAAATGAGAAAAAAAAAAATCTTGTCACCTAATATGAATATAATTTTAATGTCCTCTTTCGGCTTCTTTCCTTCAAGGCCTCCTGAGAAATGTCAAGATGCAGGATTTAATTTTCATCCTATTTCCTTTTTATCTGCCTGTCCTGTTCCACAACCACCATTCAGGCCTTTTTCTGAGTGATGAACAGTTCCGGGCTGGCTGTGGCCGTTTTGTGCTGCCATTTGATTTTAAGTGGAAACTGTCACTTTAAATTTTGAGGAGATCTGTGTGCATGCATAGTAGAACTCTCTGGGGGTGGGGGTGGGGGTGGGGTGGGGTATCCACTCACTCAGGCACCCCTTCTAGTCACCAGAATGGAGGTGCTCAGACAGCAAGCAACCAATGAACAGATACAAAAACAACAACAAAAAAAGAATGTCCACACCTTTATCTCCATGGATCATTCAGGCTTCTGTGGCTGCTCTGATCCTTCTCCCACTCAGTCTCCCCCAAGATGGCTGCTCCAGGAGACGCTGAGCCCAGCAGATCCCCAAAAGCTCCAGATTTCTTGCTTCTGCTACAAATTCCACTGGCTGTAACCCTTCAAACTTTCTAAATATTCCTTGATATATGGTACAGAGTTCTGGGACTATTCCCTGAACATGCTTCGTCCGGTATTCTGCGTTATTGCTGACGGAGCTCCTCATTGCACTTCTACCCTATCCGCCATCTTGTTTGTCTTCCCTTATTTACTTTTTCAATGAAGTTATACTCACTAACATTATAGGATTTGGGGTGAGGAATTTAAAGACACTGGCAACCATTATTGATGTTTTCATTGCCCTCACAAGGCTCATACTCTAGTGGCTTCCCCAAGAAATGAAACATTTATATTTTAAGATATTTCTTTTGTGATCAAAAGCCTTGAGGCTCTTTAATTATTCCAGGTGTGATCATTGGCCTCAGGGATCACTTTGAGACAATGAGGGATTTGTAATTTGGTACCTGTTAGCACTTTTCCATGTTTACTACAAATTTGACGTGATGATTTTGCTACATATAATCTCATATCTCTCTATGTATAGAGACTGTGGAGGCTGAGGTATTGGTACACTTTCAGGGAAACATACTTGGTTATCTTCTTACATCATGATCGTTCTTTCCTTGTAAGCATTATATGGACTACACTAATTTTTCTCTCTAAGAAGCAAAGGAAAGATCTTAAAGGAGCGGACATAGGATCATTTCAGAGCTGTAGTGTCAGGGAACACCTGAAAGGCAACAATCCTTTGAAGGACCAGGCCCTTCTGGGATACAATTATATTTCAAAAAATCAACTTGAAATAATATCATTTTGGGGTCAGGCAGATCTTATACATTATACAAGGTAACTTTTTGGAGTTTTCATCAGTTCTGTCATGTCTTTTGTGTTTGTGGAAACAGACACCCTAATTTCCTCTATGTATTATCTTTACACACATGAATTCATTGTAACACTTTATTTTGTTTTCCTATTTATGACCTGCATATCAGTCACTCTCAATTGTCATGGCTTTACTTCTGAGTACAGTGATGCATTGCTTAACATCTGTTTGGATGTCATCCAGCTGCATATACATTTGTGGTCCCAAAAGGGTTTGGTGTTATTTTACTTTGTTTTGTTTTTTAAGAGAAAACAATTCTTCTGTTTATTATTTTGTCCAGATTTTTTTAAAGCCTCCCCCACTGCACTTCTAACTTTTGTAGCACAGGACCATGGATGAAGCAGACCTAACTGTGGGCACAGGCTCTTCAGCTCAATTCAGTAGCCACTTGGCAGCAGTTGGCAGCAGTAGTTGCTCTTGCTGCAGGCACCTCTGAGGTTTTAGTATGGTGTTTGCACAGAGTCTTACAACATAATGTCATAATGTCCAAATTACATAGTGTCCTACTTTACAGAACACGTCGTGGACATTAAGCAATATATACCTGTAAATTTCTTACCCCTTTTATCACTGTCAAAGTCAAAGTTCATAGACAGGTTCACCTTTGCATTGTTCATTCCATGTTCCTTATAAAATATCCATACTGTATGTTTCATACTATGGAATTCCAATTAAGGTTATTGGGTCAGTTTTTGAACAGGCTAATAATGGACAGATACCGTCCATGAAGAATGACTGCAGAGTCTCCGTGACGGGAGAAGTCTCTGAATTCCACGGCATTGACTGGCAGCACAAGTACCAGGAGAAGCCTGTGGGGTGAGTAGCAGTGCCCCAGAGGGTCTTCTCATGTCACAGTGTTTGTGTGTCAAACTAGTTTTAAAATGCTGTGTTCACATAATATTCACAATACAAAGTTTCTATCAGTGCAAATCACATCATTGACTATTTGAAACCTATTTCACTTGTAAAACATTGTGAGAAAACCACATTATTTACCAGTGCTGACATTAATGGTAGCACCCTCGGTGAGAAAGCATACGGCATGAAAAATACATTCACTGTGGATGGTATTGTGAGATGCTAGCAAATTTAATTCTAACAACAACCCACCTCTTTTTAACAGCATATGTACAGTAGAGAATGTCTGTGACTATCAAGAAGGAACAGTAAAGAAAATTAAAGAAGAAAATCAGTGTGGCAAAACTTTCAGCTGGATTGCTAATCTTACTAACCCCATAAGAACTCCTGTTGGACTAAATTCTTCTGAGTGCCTTAAGAATGGAAACACTTTCTTGGATCATTCATCATTTAAACATCACAAAGGATCTCAGACCGGATACATACTTTACCATTCAAAGGAATGTGGAGATAATTGCAGCCGTCCCTCTAACCTAAAGCCTTGTGTGAGAGAGAAACTTTGTAAATGTAAGAATGATTGGGATTCTTGCAGTTGTTCCTTACCCCTCCCCAAACATACAAGAACTCTGACTGTAGAGAGGCCTTATGAATGTAAGGAGTGTGGGAAAACCTTTAGTTATCTTTCAAACCTGTACAGACATATAAGAACTCACAGTGGAGTGCGGCCGTACGAATGTAAGGAGTGTGGGAAAGCCTTCAGTCGGTCCTCATTCCTCACTGCACACCTACGAACTCACAGTGGAGAGAAGCCTTATCATTGTACAGAATGTGGGAAAGCCTTTAGTTCTTCCTCTTCCCTTACTAAACATATAAGAAATCACAGTGGAGAGAGGCCCTATGAATGTAAGGAATGTGGGAAAACCTTCAGTCATGTCTCAAATCTAAGGAGACACATTCGAGCTCACAGTGGAGTGCGGCCTTATAAATGTAAGGAATGTGGGAAAGCCTTTAGTCACTTTTCACAACTCACTAGACATGAAAGAGCTCACAGTGGAGAGAAGCCCTATGACTGTAAGGAATGTGGGAAAGCCTTCAGTCAGTTTTCACAACTCACTAGTCATAGAAGAATTCACAGGGGAGACAGACCTTATGAATGTAAGGAATGTGGGAAAGCCTTTAATCAGTCCTCACACCTTACTAGCCATACAAGAATGCACAGTGGAGAGAGGCCTTATGAATGTAAGGAATGTGGGAAAGCCTTTAGTCAGTCCTCACACCTCAGCAGACATATAAGAATTCACACTGGAGAGAGGCCTTACGAATGTAAGGAATGTGGGAAATCCTTTAGTGATAACTCATCCTTCAGTAGACATAGGAGAACTCACAGTGGGGAGAGGCCTTACGAATGTCAAGAGTGTGGGAAAGCCTTTCGTAGTTCCTCATCCCTCCGTAAACATATTAGAATTCACAGTAGAGATAGTCTTTATAACAGTAAAGAATTTGGGAAAGCCTTTAGTTGGCCCTCATCCCTCACTAACCACATAAGGTTCACAATGTAGAAGGACCTTATGAGTATACAAACTGTCACAGAGTCTTAGTCCTCATCTTACTAACCATATAAGAACATTGAAGAGTGAAGAAAACCTATATGAATGAAATGGATGTAGGGAAACCTTTATTGTTCCTCATTCCTCAAAAACGCCTCTGAATTCAGTGGAGAAAGACCTTATGTATGAGCAGACTTGTAAATTTTTATGGGAAACTTACTTTGTCTTTTAATTCAGTTTTTCCATTAAAATTTTCAGAGCCTCCTCGTATGTAAATGAGCTCTGGTAGCGTAGTGGTTACGAATTGGGCTGCGAACCTTCAGGTCAGCGGTTCGAAACTACCAGCTACTCCGCAGGAGAAAGATGAGGCTTTCTACTCCCGTAAAGATTTACACCCTCGGAAACCCTATACAGGGTCGCTGTGGGTCGGAACCGACTCGATGGCACTTAACAACAACAACCTCCTATGTAAGGAATGAAATAAACGCCAGTTCTCGTTTACCCTGTTCAGAGAATGTGAGAATTACACTGGAAACAATATATATGTGTAAGTAATTTTAAGAAGGCTTTTGGTAATTTTGTTTAAAATCTGAGAGAAAACACCTGGTAAAGAAACCATGTCATGTAAAGAATGATACGGGAATGTCTCTGCTTTTCCCTGTACTTTAAAAGATGGACAGATTCACACATATGGAAAGTATTCACTGATTTCCTCTCGTAAATATGTGAGGTGTGCTACATCTGAATAATCAAATATATGTCAGTAATTTAGAAACATTTACAAATGTTGTGCAATTCTTAGAAAACATGAAATCCTACACTGTGGGTTGGTCCTACGAATGTAAAAGTTGAGGGAATCCTTAATGATCTGTTCTCACTTAAGATTTCGATGAAACATTACTTGCAGAGACTGTGATTGTAAGCAAGTTCCCTTTCAGTTGCAGCACATCACTTTACACAAGTACTGAAGTGTTTATATATATATATATATATATATATATATATATATATATATATATATATAT